AGCAACGTTATTTTATATTATTAACGGCACCTCCTACCTTATGGGTAAAACAACAAAGGAAACAAGTGAAAAATCAAAATAATTATTTTTTTGCTGATAGATCATAAATTCGTAATTTCTTTAAAGTACAAAAAATGATCTTTTCTTTGAATTGAGCTCCCAAACTCATTATCTGAATACATGTATTTCTACTAATTACATTGACTTCGACCACAGTTTACTCATAATTAATGTTTGAATATGCACACCGCATATTTTGTTGCTAAAAGGGAACGTTTCAAAATGTGCAAAGTTGATAGAATAGTCAGTTAAAAGTTATAAAATATGAGAAATCTGCGCGATACCTTTAAATTAATTTCCATATCTATGTTCGTCTTTGAAGAATCAAAGAGATAAATATCAATCTTAAAACGGGGTTTATAGCTTTTTCTGAGTAGCGCTTTCGGAATGAACGTAGTAATAAACAGTTTAGGTACAACCACTTTCGGTTTTTTTCAACAATTTGGGCTTTCTCGAATGTAAATTTGCTTGCTTAAGAGATGGCTGAACTATTCTCCGTTATTGTAGATTTTCAGTTTTGAGGAGAAAAATATAAATACTAACTACAAAAACTGCCGTTGTGCATTTTCATAAGAAATAAATAGAAGCGCAGTGTTTTCAAATAGAAAATTGGCGTACATTTAATAGAGTTATGCCATATGTTTTTTGCAATCTTTAGCTATACCTATTATTGAACTACAAAAGGACACTTGAATTAGTTATATTAAATATTTAAAAAAATATATATTGAAATATTGCTTGATATTAAAATTGAAACCGTATTTTCAAGCGCTGATATCTTGGAAATCCATATCCCAAGAAAATTAAGTTGGAAAATACAAGGCTAAGGCTTAAAATATGAGGAAGAAGAAGAAGATATGTTGGAGAAGTAAACTCTGCTTATTGGGTACTCTTTAAATAACGTGTCTAAAAAACCTCAATTTTGAATCACCCCGTGTGTGTACTAATCTATCTACAATATATTTCCGAGGAGTTAGACAGTATGATTGAGGTGATATAAAAAGTGAGAAGATGTAAACACACATAAATATGTAACACTGATGTGGTGCTGTGTAAATATTTGTTATTTAACACGTACAGATCCACTATTCCAATTTAGGAAGGAAAGCATATACCCATGATAAACACACATTCTATTAAAAAAAAATCTCCTTTGATTGGATATTCCAATTTAGATCAAATACTTGTAAAAGTTAGCTTTAAACCCGAATAGAAAATCTCGGAAAATCTGAGTGAAATCGTGAACATGTTTTGTTTTTGAGAGGCAATGCTTGTTTGTTTCTATCAAACTCAAAAAAGTCCTAATCGATGTTTATGGCTACTGCTTGCAGGGTCACTTCAGCAATCACCAGTTCAATTGTGGCTCTTTCTCTGTCCTAGAATTCTCAATTTGCTTGGAATAAATAGCTGTGCTATGTTGAAGATATACTCCTTTTTAGAGTGTTTCCAAAGAAGGGAAAGATTTTAAATTTTGAGGAGTACAATTTAAAACATAACCCCAAATATGACGTGAATATGTAAACGACGTAAATAGTTGGTCTCGAACGGCAATCGTAATTTCTTCAAATATACAATTTGGGTAACTTTAAGCAAGTTTCGGACTGATTTCGCTGTTATGTTTGCCTTGCATTCTACTAGTCGGCCAAATCACGGTTAAACCATTTAAAACTACTGCTTAGTAGCAAGTCTAAATTAAATACTAAGATCAACAATTTAAATTATCTGTTTTCATCTTCACGTTATACATAGCTAATCTACAGTAAGCATACAAGCGAAGCGATCTTTGATTCAGAAAATTAACTTCGGACGACATAACGATTTGGATCCTACATAATTAATCATGTCGCCCTCATGCAAATTGCTTGACATTGCGGCACAGAGTGAATCAATATTATGTAGTTAAACTGACAAGAAAAGCATAATTATTAATCCATTACATCGCACGAAAAAAATATGCATTTATATCACGAGCAGGAAACGACCTGGAATTTTCAACGTGAGAAATCATGAGGTTTCCACCCAAACACGTGGAGCTTTTGGATTTGAATAAAAAAATAATCTTTGCGGTAAATCCATTAAGCCCCCGCTAATTAATACCCTTATAGTTATTGTGGTAAAATGCAAATTTTATATTTCACTTTATCAATTATTATCGCTCGACTTTGCTTTCAAGTAAATTGAAGAAACGTATATTTAGGTTATCGGAATTTGAAGCAAACTGAACCGCGGCTAGTATTCTGCTGGAAAGTTTAGCAGTACCCAAATTATTTAGATCGGAATTTTTATAATTTTAAACAAAATTGCAATGTCCAAATTTGGATCGCCAACTGTTAGTATCTTCAACTAACCAATGAGTATACATTTTCTGTTATTTTTCTGGCATTTTCCAGCTTAACGCTCTGGTATTGAATAAACAGATAAGCATAAAAATACATGTTCACTGATATTTATTAATAATAGTAGAGTTTTACACTACAAACTCATACTGAACAGAAAGAAGAACATTAGAAATAATGAAATATATTCACAGGCTAACAGTAACATAAAAATATTAATAATGTGCTTTCAAAATTATAACGTCTTTGGGTGGTGTGGAATGGCAAGCAAACAGGAATTTGTGGAAGCATTCTACAAATTCCAGAGACCTAAAATATTTTTTTAGTTTAGTTCAAACGAGAAAAATTTCGGAGATTTAAAAGTGTCGACAAAAGTTCTACATATTTGTTTTTACTCGTCCTTAAATATTTTCTATAAAAACTAGTGTATTGATACAATATTCCTCTAGGGTTTATTTGAGATTAAAAAAATCAATCTGCATATCCGACAGTCATGACCGGAAATTTTTGAAACACAAGAACTTTTTGGGTCAAATTTTATATTAATTTTAAATATACTCTCTTATGCTCCAGCGCTTTTTAGGGAAGAAAGTTTACCTGGTGAAAGTTGATTTGAGATATATGGATTCCAAAAGATCATTATATTCCAAAATATCATAAAGATTATAGCACACAATGTTTATCAAATATTCAAAATGACCACTATTTTCGTGCGCTCGAACACTCAAGATTGAATTCGTTTGGGTTAATTTTTGCTACTTTGCGTCAATTTGTTTTAATTAACTAAATTAATGTTAATGTTCCAAGAAATAAATTGTTTAAACCCAAATAAACTCTTATCAGGTACACATTTTTGAGATAAAAAACGTTGAAGGCATATTAATGTCGACCCAAAAACGCAATTTTGATATAAATATGTGCTAAGTACATCGCATGCCATCCGCCACACTTCCGTCCAAAAAATCCTAGTCAAATATACAGAATAATTAAAGAAAGTAGGTAGGTAAGCAAAAGTAAAA